TCTTCTTCTTCTTCTTCTTCTTCTTCTTCTTCTTCTTCTTCTTCTTCTTCTTCTTCTTCTTCTTCTTCTTCTTCCTCTTCTTCCTCTTCCTCTTCCTCTTCCTCTTCCTCTTCTTCTTTCCTTTTCTGGTATTGGGGATGGAACCTAGGGCCTTCACACCAGACTGCAGCTCTGGCCCTTTGTATTTTTTATTTTGAGATGAGGTCTTGCTAAATTGCCCAGGCTGGGCTCAGATTTGCACTCCTCCTGTCTCAGCCTCCCAGAGGCCTGGGATGGCAGATGTGTGCCCTCACACCAGCTGAGGGAAAGTGGATAGAAGAGGTGAGGCGAGGGAGGCAGAGAGCAGGAGAGCTCGAACATCGGGCAGTGGACCTGACGGGAGGCTCATGAGAGAACACAGCAGGAGCTGGGGGACGTGGCCCTGGGCAGCTGCCACTGCCACACCATAGGTGCTCTTGGCTTCCTTCGGGCCAGGCTGCTCTGCGGCCACAGATGCAAGCAGCACTGCTCAAAGCCACCCCACTGTGAGTCCTTTTCCTGGCCTCCAACGTGTCCTGGGCCTGGTCTCCCCACTGACCCCTCTGATCCCTCCCCTCCCTGCTGTCCTTTGTCACCTTCCCTCCTGCTTGACTAGCTCACTCCCTGTTTACTCCCTGCTATTCCTCAAGCATAGCTTCCAGGAACAGGGGCGGTAGCTGTGACTCCGGCACAACGCCTGCCCGCCTGCCTGTGTGGTTCTTGGAAGCCTGACCAGGCCGGGGGCAGCACCGCACAGGGGCCCTTTGTCTGCGCTGCCTGCAGCCGGGCCACTTTTGGCTGCCCTTTGGCTGCAGAGTCTGAAATCCCCCCAAAGGCTGGGTCCTCCTGAATATTGACCACCTCCTTTTTTCTTAGAAGGAAACCAAGGCAGGGGGCTGAGCCTGGCTGCCCCAGGCTCCCACGGCCAGGACCAGATGTCAGAGTCCTTTCTCTCTTCTGGGCTGTAGACAGAAAGGCCCTGAGACCCAGAAGTATGTGTCAGGAACAATGGCCTCTGCTGAGTGCCACCTGTGCCAGGCTTTGGTGAAACCCCTGCTCAGTGAGCTCAGCCTCCACACAGGCAGGTGCCAAAGTGCAGAGAGCCCTGTGAGACTATAACTGGGGCTGGTCTGGTGCCTTGGAGCACAGGCCCTGCTGCAGGTTCTCAGGGCTACTCCTGCATGACCCAGGCCGAGCAGGGCACAGGGTCATCAAATTAGGGCATCCCTCAGGGTACACTCAGAGCGTCGGAGGGTGGAGGGCAGGCCAGGGACTGAGCAGGTGCGATAGCTGCAGTGAGGACAGGAGGTCCAGCTCTGGTTTGGGGGTGCCTAGCAGGAGTAACCCCTTTCTTGTTTCTACTTCCCCTCCTTGGCCTGGGCCTTTTGCATTTTCTGGATTTAGTTCCTTTGGGAACAGCTACAGCTAAAAATTGGTCACCTCATTTTTATTGCTTTATAACTTATGATTTTTGTCTTGTTTTGTGATCTGTTTCGTTTTAGACAGGGTCTCACTGTGGGTCCAAGCTGGCCTTGAACTCACAGGGATCCTCCTGCCACAGCCTCCTGAGGGCTTGGATTATGGGCGTGTGCCACTGTGTCCAGCTGGATACCTCATTTCTAAATCCTGCACCACCACCTGGGGTGACCTTCTCAGTATATCGTGTGTTGTAGAAGGAGCTGGCTGGGCTCTGACATAGGGTGAGGATGCCCCTTCCGGCCCCAGCTGCACCCTGGTA